AGAATATTGTATTCATAATAAATAAATAAATAAATAAATAAATAAATATTTAAAAAAAAAAGAAAATCAAAATCAAAATGGCTGAATAAATACTCCTTTGTGCATTAATATTGAAAAGTATTTTTTTGGTTGGGTGGTGGTGGTGCAGGCCTTTAATCCCAGCACTCAGGAGGCAGAGGCAGGTGATCTCTGTTAGGGCCAGCCTGGTCTACAGAGCGAGTTCCAGGACAGTCAAGGCTACACTGAGAAACCCTGTCTTGAAAAAACCAATATATATTGTTTTTTCCTGCTGTGAGGACCATGCTGACCTCGCCTACTCGACCCCAAAGCTCCTCCTGACTCTCCTAGGGGTCTCCATCCCCTAGGGAAATCCCATAGACTGGGTGTTAAGGGTGGTTTGGAGGTGGTGAACCAATCTTGGACCCAGAGCTTGCATGAGATTTTAAACAAGTTGTCAATCTCTGTGGACCTTTAGCCTCCTCATGAGTAAATATATATATATATATATACACATATATACACAATCCACATGACCAGTTCAGCACAACTGAATGTCAGTTTGCCCATTCTGTCTCATGGCCCTTGACCTCAGACCCCCACACACACTCTCACCCATCCCCCTCCCAGGTCCTGTCTCCTCCAGGCTGACTCTGAGCGCCTCCTGCAGCTGTGGATCAATGCTGTTCAGAGCAGCATTGCCTCTGCCTTCAGCCAGGCTCGCCTTGATAACAGCCCTCGTGGTCCAAGCCAGGTATCTTAATATGGGCACCGGGACCATGCTGCCCTGGGAGATGGAGCCCCCTCCCCCTTAGGCCCCTCGCTTACCCTTTCTTCCTTCTCCTTCAGGTCTCAGGACACCTTGCCCTGGGTTCTGCTGCTACCCTGGGCTGTGGCGGGGCAGCCAGAGGAAGGGAACCTGGGGGAGTTGGGCAGGTGGCAGCCCAGGTACAGAGTGTGGAGGGGAATGCCCAGTGCTGCGACTGCAGGGAGCCAGCCCCGGAGTGGGCCAGCATCAACCTCGGTGTCACTCTCTGCATTCAGTGCTCCGGCATCCACAGGTCTGAGCCCTGCTTTCAGCTGCCATGTGGCCTCTCATAAGGCCCCTCTCATGCACCCTACCCTGTTTTGTTTTATTTATTTTTTTCTTATATTCTTCTATGTCACTGGTCACCAAACTTGCTGCAAAAACTGCACATGCAAGTTGGGTATAGATAGGTTTAGGGGGATCCTAAAGGAATTTATTGTCCTTTGTTTTGTTTTTCAAGACAGGGTTTCTTTGTGTAGCCATGGCTGTCCTGGAACTCACTCTGTAGACCAGACTGGCCTCGAACTCCCAGAGATTGGCTTACTTCTGCCTCCTGAGTGCTGGGATTAAAGGCGTGCACCACTACTGCCACTGCCCAGCCCAGGGAATTTGTTGTCTTGATTAGAGGAAGCACGGGTTAGGGTTTGCTGAGGGTGGGATAGCCAACAGAGGTCAGAGGAGAGGTTCTAAGGTCCTACAACGTTCTTAAGGCCTCTCCACCATTCTGGGGAGGGGAAGGGAGATGGCACAAAAAGAATGTTCCAGACCAAAATACCGTGAGAAAAGTAAGGGGCTAGAGAGCACGAAGTCTCAAAATAAAACAAGATAAAGGGAGGGATGGTGAGCAGACTGCCTCTTGGCCCGGCTCCTCCACACAGCCTTCACACAGGCCTGGCCTCTGAGTCTTTTCAGTAGCAACAGCTTCCCCGACTACTGCCCACACGGGGTATGACTCTCCCTCTGGCCCTCCAGGAGCCTCGGTGTTCATTTCTCCAAAGTCCGGTCTCTGACCCTTGACTCCTGGGAACCAGAACTCGTGAAGGTAACTTGGGCTATTGAGATGACAAAGGGCAGCGAAGTCCTGTGGGCTCAGGTACTCACCCTATTCCCTGACCTCTTTCTCTTGGCCTCTCCTGGGCCTCCTGAAGCTCATGTGTGAGCTGGGGAATGTCGTCATCAACCAGATCTATGAGGCCAGGGTGGAGGCCATGGCAGTGAAGAAGCCAGGGCCCAGCTGCTCCCGGTGAGGCTGGGGTGGAGGTATCCAGGGCTTCCTGCTGCTGGGGTAGGGGGTGGCAGTGGAATGAGGGACCTAGGGCTCTCTTCTCCCCACCTCCAGGCAGGAAAAAGAAGCCTGGATCCATGCCAAGTATGTGGAGAAAAAGTTTCTGACTAAGCTTCCTGAAATTCGAGGGCGAAGAGGTGGCAGGGTACCCCCAAGAGGACATCCTCCTGTGCCCCCAAAGCCTGCTGTCAGGCCGCAGCCAGGGATTGCCAGGTCCAAATCAGGTAAGGAGTGTTTGGCTCATTGCTGTCTGCTCAGTAGCGGGCCAGGTATTCTAGGGAGGCAGAATAGGAGGACATCGCCTGGAGAGAGTTGGGAGGACCAGACTATAGTTTCAGGGGGTTACAGTAGGACATGGGACTGAGCATGGGGAAAAGTGTGGGGTGGAATGTCATGTCAGGGAGAGCCACAAAAGGGGTATCTTTGCTAGGTGGTGGTGGCACATACCTTTAATCCCAACACTTGGGAGGTAGAGGCAGGTAGATGAATCTCTGAGTTCTAGGATAGCCAGGGCTACACAGAGAAACCCTGTCTTGAAAAAACAAAACAAAAACAAACAAAAGGAAGGCCGGGGAGGTAATCTCCAGTGTGAGAAGAGGCAGGAGAGGGTTGAGCTTGGCGGTCTGGAAAGAAGGGTATGAGCCTGCCCCAGGCAGTGGAAGGAAAGAGGTGAGTCTGTCAGGGGGTTAGTTCACCTCTGGCGTCCAGCCAGTCTGGGTGGTTGGACAGGCTGAGGAGGTGAGTGATACTGTCTCCTCCACACCCAGGGCCCTGCACACATACATCCCGACACGTATACACACACACTCCCATCTCACCACAGCCCTGAGTCACAAGGGCCTCCCCACAATTTAGACGTGACTTACTCCCTCACAGCATCAGGGGACTGTGCTGAAGATTTCTCCCTGGACTCAGCACTGATTTTCCTTAACAGAGTCCCCATCTGATGACCTGGGAAGCCTGCACCCTGGGGCCCTGCTGTTCCAAGCTGCTGGACATCCTCCATCTCTTCCTACCATGGCTGATGCCCTGGCCCATGGAGCAGATGTCAACTGGGTCAACGGGGCTCAGGGGAATGCCACACCTCTGATCCGGGCCACAGCTGCTGTGAGGACCATGCTGACCTTGCCTACTCGACCCCAAAGCTCTCCTCCTGACTTCCTAGGGAAATCCCATAGACTGGGTGTTAAGGGTGGTTTGGAGGTGGTGAACCAATCTTGGACCCAGAGCTTGCATGAGATTTTAAACAAGCTGTCAGTCTCTGTGGACCTTTAGCCTCCTCATGAGTAAACTAGGAATGGCAGGAGGCCTGGGAGGCGGGTCAGCATGTGCTGCACTTGCTGAGGACCAGGGTTCAGCTCCCAGGAACCCAGAAGGCTGCTCAGAACTGTAGCTCCAGTACCAGAAGATCCAACGCCCTCTTCTGGTGTCCTCATTCACTGCATGCAGCACACACACATGCAGGCAAAACACACATAAAATAAAAAAATCTTTAAAAAGAGGAATGGCATGCCTCATCAAAGTGCAGAGTAGATTTAATACATGAGCATGTAAGAGATGACAGCCAAGCCCGACACCTAGGTGCACCCTGAAAACCACACTCCAAACTCCCAACGTCTTAATTACGCCACCCTAGAACATCTAGAAATCCACCTCTAAAAATGTCATTCCCCCCTTGATCTCTCCACGCAGAATTCTCTTATGGCCTGTGAGTTTCTCCTCCAGAATGGGGCAAACGTGAACCAGGCAGACAGTGCTGGCCGGGGCCCACTTCACCACGCCACCATTCTTGGCCACACAGGGTAGGGAGCCGCGGAAATGCCAGATCGGGAGGAGGTTTTTTGTAGGGAAGGCTTCAGCTGAATTTGACTGCTCTTTTCAGGCTTGCTTGCCTGTTCCTGAAGCGGGGTGCAGATCTGGGGGCTCGAGACGCAGAAGGCAGGGACCCTCTGACTATTGCAATGGAAACGGCCAACGCAGACATCGTAACCCTGTGAGAATGCCAGAGGGTCGGGCTAGTACTTGGACAGTCCGTTCTTCTTTGGGGTAGGACTAATGCCAAAACCAGACCTGGAAGGTGAGGTCTGGGGAGGGGTGGGGTAAAGCTCTCTGTGGGTGGCGGGGTGTGGGAATGGGAGTTCATCTTGGGAGACATTATTCGTAGATCAACATTGCAGAAATGTTCATGTGTTTGCTTTTTAAAGCACTGGTCACCAGAAAGGTATTTTCACCGAGTGCTGTAGCTCAAAGGGTGGGAAGGTAGGGAGTGCGAAGTATTTTATTCCTTAATTCCCACCCTTCAGGTTACGACTGGCAAAGATGAGGGAGGCTGAAGCGGCCCAGGGCCAGGCAGGTAAAGTAACCGCTCATTTACCCGGACGCCCGGTCCTTGCTTATCTGTCCCCTTAGTGCCCAACCGCATTACTGCCATGGTTTATTCAACACACACGGTTTGGGCTCATCGAACGCGCCTGTCCCTCAGAACAAAGGAAGGAATAGGCGCCTGGGCTGCGCTTACGATGCACCCACACTTCAAAACCTTGCCCTGCCAGACCCCACCGTACTGCCCGATGATGTTTTTCGTAGTAGCCCAGCTGTCCCGCCTCCCAGCCTTTCCTCTGTCCTATTCAGGAGACGAGACATATCTCGACATATTCCGAGACTTCTCTCTCATGGCGTCGGACGACCCCGAGAAACTCAGCCGTCGCAGTCACGACCTCCATACGCTTTGATTCCAGGCTCCTCCCCACTTTGCCATGACTTGTTCTCTAAATAAAGTCTCCTACAGTTTCTTCTTTCTCAGTTCATTTACTGGGCGCCACGTGGGGGCCCGGCTGGGTGTTGGGCGCCGTAGCTTCTCAAGAGGTTAGATTTCTCTAATAAAGGAGGAGGCTGCCTAGCACCCAGTGGCAAGGGCGAGAGGGGCTTTCGAGTTCAGAAGACAAGGGGTGGCCCAAAGGCATTCCTGGAATGCGATGGCTCAGCACCCGCCCCCTCGGGAGTTCCCAACCGGGATCCAACCCCGAGGCATGGGTTTTCTCAGAAGGAAAGGACTGAAGATCTTGCTCCGCTCCGACCAAGTTGTACTAGTGAGGTCATGCACACCTGCAGGGAACGCGGGACCTTCGCCGCCACATCCGTAGAGACGCCTGTGAATCATCCCTCCCCCGCTCGGGTCGGCAGGTCGAGCCCGTCCGTCCCGTCTCTCCCGTCGGCGAGTCCCAGCTCCCACCCCAGCAGAGCCGTGCTGGCGCACGGGGGCGGAGGGCGGGGCGCTAGGGGGCGGGGCAGTCGCTTAAAGGGCCACTGACCGCTGCCCTTAGACCACTTCCTGGGGGGTGGAGAGGACCTCAGTTGCTGCTGCGACAACCCAGGAAGGCGGTAACGCCCAAGTCCCGAGACTCCAGCTGTTGCCAACAGAGTCCTGGGACACTCAGCTCTGACCGCGAGAGCATCGTCTCTCTCCAGCCGTACAGAACGGCTCGTCACCGGCTCCCATCAGTTGCGCTTCCATCTGTAGGGATCCGCGCCCCTAAGCCTGGTCGGGCCTCTGGGTAGGTCATCGGAACCCGGCGTGGACTCACTCGCCTACTGCAAAAGCTATCTACTAAGAAACTCAAAAGTTGAGCCCTTTGAGTCCAGCCGGTGCTCGCCACCGTCACCTGCTGGTTGAATTCCGGAAACCCACTGTCTGAAGAACAGAAGGGAATCGCTGACCACGCAGAATCAGAATCGTCTGGACCAAAAACTCCCTGACCCTGCCTTCTCTTCTTTTCGTCGATTCTTTCATCCTTTCTGGAATTTCTGTGTCCTGAAGCCCCCAATCGCCACCAAGGTAGCTGGGGTGAGCTACAAACTTTGCTGTCTTGTTCTCCAACCTCTGCCTCCAACATAGCGAGCCTAAACGTTTCCACCCAATTCTTCCCAAACCCGGGAGGTTCTGCCTTTTTCTTCTCCTTGCCTGTCTCCTACAGTTCCCAAAATTTCCCCCCCTCCTGTGTCTTCTTCACCCCCTTCTTTTGGGGGCCCCGTGACCCTAAATGTGGGGGGAACACTATATTCCACTACATTGGAGACCCTGACACGCTTCCCAGACTCCATGCTGGGGGCCATGTTTAGGGCTGACACCCTTATGCCAGCCAATCTCAACCCGCAAGGAGATGGCCATTATTTCATCGACAGAGATGGCAAGGCTTTCCGGCACATCCTCAATTTCCTGCGGCTGGGCCGTCTGGACCTGCCCCGTGGATATGGAGAAACTGCACTTCTTAAGGCAGAAGCTGACTTCTACCAGATCCGGCCCCTCCTGGATGCCCTGCGGGAATTGGAAGCTTCTCGGGGTACCCCAGCACCCAGAGCTGCCCTGCTCCATGCAGACGTAGATGTCAACCCTCGTCTGGTGCACTTCTCTGCTCGAAGGGGCCCACACCACTATGAGCTGAGCTCTGTCCAGGTGGACACCTTCCGAGCCAACCTCTTCTGTACTGACCCTGAGTGTCTGGGTGCCATGCGCAACCGATTTGGTGTGGCCAGTGGGGACAGGGCAGAGAGTGGTCCACATTTTCGTCTAGAGTGGGCCTCCCGCCCCCGGGAACTTCCCGAAGTGGAGTATGAAAGATTGGGGCTGCAACCACTGTGGACTGGGGAGCCAGAAAATCGGCGGGAGGTGGCGAACACACCTGCCTTCCTGGAGGAGGTGCTGAGGGTGGCTCTGGAACATGGCTTCCGCCTGGACTCTGTCTTCCCAGACCCCGAAGACCTGCTGAACTCTAGATCGTTACGCTTTGTCCGCCACTGAGAATGCTACCCTTCACTTGACTGCGGAGAGGGAGAGGAATGCATTAGGCAAGGGGCTGATGGCTCTCCCGAAGAAGCCTCCTTCTAAGTCCTGGGGTAGGAGCTATGAGAGTCAGGGATCCCACCACACCTGACTGGGATTCCCAAATCGAGCTGCTCCGACTCCCAGGACTCGAGTGGTCCAGAAGATCTACGCTGGGGCTTATCCTGGGAAAGCATCCGCAGATTCTCGAGCCAGTTCTTGCTTGAGGATGGGTCCTCTGTATTCAGGGGTGTGGGAAAGTAAGAAGCACCTCTTTGCCTGGGCTACACTTTAGCACTCTGGAGGTTTGAGCACTAGGCGGAAAGACATACTTTGAATTGTCAGATATGGTCAGCCGGCTAGACTGTGACTTCCCCTCCTGGAGGATGGGCACTTACTTATCCCACCATGACCATTAAGAGGCTAGGATGTCTGGGAGATTTCTTACTGTGTTCCAAGACACCTACTGTGGGAGATTGAAAAATAGAAACTTCATCCTAGGTTGACAAAAGGGGGCTAGGAAAATCCCTGTCGGCACGGGGGCTAGGAAAATCCCTGTCGGCACGGGGGCTAGAGCGCCCTTCTGGAATTGTTTTAGAGGATGCTCTCTGTAAGTGGGGCTGGACATGGGGAAAGATGGTAGTATTTTTTCGTACCCTGGGCTTCTGTGTGTGTGTGTGTGTGTGTGTGACAGCCAACGTATCTGACTGATGCTTGGGCCCCTGGCATCTTGGTTCCCATCAGTGTTGCCGACTCCTGCGTTTATGTGATGGTCCTTCTGTGATCTTGGCATGTCCAGGCCTGTTTGGGGTTGCTTAGCAACTCTCCAGGCTCAGGTATATCTGTGGTATGTGTGAGAGCAGATTGAGATTTAGTTTAATCATAGGGTGTGTGTGTGTTTGCGTGTGTGTTTGTGCCCACACCACCACGTAGGCAGGAGGGGCTCGTTTGAGTTTGACTCACTGGGTCCTCCCTATGAGAGGTAAAAGCCACTGGGCTTAGCTGGGCCTCTGAGACCTCCGGGAGCTCTTGGTTGCTGAGACAACCATGAGTCTGTTGCTAGGAAATAGCCGGGTAAGGCCTAAGGCTGTCCTGGGCAGACAGGAGACAAAGAGGGAGGAGAATGGAGAGGCTATAGAAAGGGCTAGCATTTCTGAGTTCCCTAGTGGATGGGGCACACACGCATCGTCTTCGCTGGGATTCATCTATCACTGTGACTTAAAAGAAGAGAAATAAAATTGCTTTCAGAACCACAGCTGTGTCAAGGCCACTGTCCCCTTGCAACAGAAAACCCTGATGTCTTCCTTTATCCCCTACTAGAGATGCCTTTCAGCCTCCGGTTCCATGGGCAGCTTTGCCGGAGCCAAGGGGTGAAACAATGGCATTGTTCTAGATCAGTCTAGAACCTCAGAACATTCTGGGTCTTCTCTGGTCCAAGGGGGTCCAGTTCCCACCCATCCTCCAGCAGGCCCCATGTGGGTGCTAGCACTGCTTGGGGTTTTCCTGGCCGCTGCCAAGGCTTGTATCTTTTGTCGCCTCCCGGCTCATGCCTTGCCAAGCCGCCTGGCTCAGCTCAGTAGCCAGATGGAGACGCCTGGGAAGGAATGGGCTTCCCCGGATTTCTCAGCCTTTGCCTTAGGTAATATAAGACACACAAGTTAGCCCTGCGACAGCCACCCGTCTACCCTAAAAAGGGGTATCCCGTGAGATCCTAGCTGTGCCTTCAGTCAATGCTGCCTCCTCTGGACACACTGGCTTCTCCCTCTGGAAGAACTTTGTGTCCTAGGAAATGGGAAAAACAAAGACTCCAGAGCCTACTGAGAGAATAGCTCGTTCTTGCCCGTCTCCACAGATGAGGTGACCATGAACAAAATCACGGAGAAGACTCACAGAGTCCTGAGGGTCATGGGTGAGGTCAGGGGTTGGGACCTAGGAAGACCCAAGGGAGGATGGGGGTGGGGCAGGTAAAGACGGGCTGATCAGGGAAGGGGGCATGGAAGGCAGCACCGCTGAAGCCTAGGACAATATTGCCGTGCTGTGCCTCTCCAGAGATAAAAGGATCCATCTCCTCGCTTCCTACTTATTGGCAATGGCTTCAGAAGACCAAGATCCCCCAGTACACCAGGGAAGGTATTGATGGGGGTACCTGGGATTTGTAGCCAAGTGGAGTGTGATCGAACAGGTCAGCCACCCCTCTTTGTCATTTCAGCTCTCTGTGCTCCTGTCTGCTGTGAGTAAAAGGGTAATAAGCCGGAAGAAGTTGGGTGGCTGGAAGGGTGGAGGCCCTGGCTTCGCTCGCCAGCGCTGCTCCTATTGTCTCCTGCAGGGGGCAGCACCATCCTGTACAACTGCTCCACCTGCGAGGGCAAGGAGGTGTCTTGTTGGCCCCGAAAGCGCTGCTTCCCAGGTTCCTACTCCTTACCCTCCTCCTCAGACCCCTTAGGTGCCCTGGTGTGATCTGCGGGAGCATCCACGGCATCCTGGGTTCCTTGCAGGCAGTCACGATCTGTGGGACGCTAAGATTCTGCTCTTATCGATCTTCGAAATTGTCCTGCTTTTGGGTGTTGTGAGCCTCCACGTGGAGTGAGTTGCGGGATAATCGGAAGAATGCCGGAATCCGTCCCTTTCTCCTTCCTCCCAAGCCCCTTCCCCGCTTCCTTCTGGGTCTCCCATCCTCTGTCTTCTTTCAGGTACCGCCACCTGCAAGCGAAAGACTTGTGAAGATGCTGGCGGCTTTCCCAGCCATAGCTCTATGGAATTTGTGCCCACGAGTTCTACATCGCTAAGGTGGGAACAAGCCACCTTTTAGACCCAGCCCCAAAGCCTCAGATCCTAAAATTCAGGCCTTTGTAGTCAATATTAGTGTCAGATGCCTCCAGGAACCCAAGCACCCACAGCTGCAAAGTTCCTCCTCCTCTTCACTCCACCAATCAGAGAGCAGTGGATGATGCCAGGAAATTATCTACAGAAGGAAAGAATCCCTCCCCACCATTCCCGGAAAGCGGGGGACTGTTGGCCTGTAGATGCTGCTCTAGGCCCTCCAATGACTGATCGCAAATCCGGGAAGGAGAGTTCTGGAAAACTCACTCCCTCTGGGGTGAGACCACATCAGTCAGCCCGCTGGCATGCAGTCCCTCCATTGTCTTAATCTTGTGCAGGCCTGGCCTCCGCTCCTGCTGGGCCCAACTAAATTTGGTGTGCCATGCCTTCCGACTGTGCCTGGCCTCTCTCTGCAACTTGGGCAGGCGAGAGAATGGAGATTCTTAGGAATTCCAATTAGGGGTCCCCTCCCCTCCGATATTTAGTAATGTCTGGAAACAGTTCTGTTTTGATTGGGGATGTGTTCCTGGCATCTACTGGGTGGAGACTTAGGAGGCTACTAAACATCCTAGGACACACAGGAAAATCCTGCCCTAATGTCAACAATTTATGGTGGAGAAAACCGCGTGCCGGGCCTCTGTGTACTAGGGACTTGGGTTAGGCTGACAAGGGATGGCCTATCGCCAGCCATTCCTGATATAAGCACTGATGCCCAGACGAGGTGCTAGCATTCAGCTAGTTTTCAAGCTGAGGGCAAGTGTTCTCAGATAGCACATCTGGGGTTATCTGGACAGTTTCCAAACAGCTCGTGCTTCTGTACCTCCCCGAGCGTGAGTGAAGTGGACCACACGAAGCCTTGGTTAACATGATCTACAGCCAGGGGAAGACCGCTGTCCTAGCGTTGCCTAGGGACTAAAAGAGATGCGCTCTGGGGATTTCTCTGTGTAACAGCTCTGACTCTCCTGGAACTTGATTTGTAGATCAGGGTGACCTTGAACTCACAGAGATCCACCTGCCTCTGCCACCCAAATGCTGAGACTAAAGGTGCGCACCATCATGCCCTGCCCTAATTTTTTTTAAAGGCATATGTGTTTTTTTTTTACTTTTTTTGTTAATATTTATTTATTTATTATGTATACAATATTCTGTCTGTATGCCTGAAGGCCAGAGGAGGGTGCCAGACCTCATTACAGATGGTTGTGAGCCACCATGTGGTTGCTGGGAATTGAACTCAGGACCTTTGGAAGAGCAGGCAATGCTCTTAACCACTGAGCCATCTCTCTAGCCCCCCCCCCCCCGCCCTAAATTTTGTTTTTAGATTTTGTTTGTTTGGTTATCATGTGTGTAGGCTTGTGTGGACCACAGCACACGTGTGGAGATCAGAAAACAATTGGCTGGAGTCGGTTTTCCTTCTACCACGAGGGTCCCAGGGACTGAACTCAGATCATTATAATGGCAAGCTCCTTAACCTGCTGAGCCATCTCTGCTGCCTTTTGTTTTTGCTTTTGAGACAGGGTCTGTCAGCTTAGCTTGGCCTCCAACTTACTATGATGCTGAGGATGACCTTGAGCCTCTGACCTTCCTGCCTCTACCTCCTAAGTGCAGAGATCGTAGAAATGTACCACCGCCATCCGGCCCTGCTTGTTTTACACATCCTAGACAATCCTTCACCTTATACATGAAAATATGAGAGCCATAGGTCATATAAAATCACAGATCATAGGGAAACTCATCCATTATTTGGACAACAGTGAATACCTACCAGGTACCAGGTAGCATCACTACCCAAGAAAGTATGAGAGCCCCATGATGTCCTTACCTCAGGGGAGGTACAGTTCTCTGGATGGCAGCTGCCATGTCCCCTGCTCTGCTCAGCCTCCATTTCGGGGATCAACATTTTAGAGTTGTTCCCATTCTCCTGATCCACAGTACCACCCATCGTTCCAGGATCTATCCTGTCTGCCCCCTTCCCCTGTGGTGGTCTCCAGCCCAGTGGACCTTAGTCTCCTGCATGCTCCATCTGTTGTGAAGGCTCCTTCTGGGCCCAGTTCACTCTCAGTGGCCACGCGGGTCCTCCCAAAGCTCCATGTTTCTCAAGCATGTGATGAAGTTGGGTTTTGGAGTTGGGCTGCTTGACTTCAAATCCTTGGTCTGCTCTGACTGGGCCTTGGCGACTTGTTTCCACTCCCTGTGCCTTTTCCTTTTATGTTGCTTTTGACACAGCCTTGTTGTGTAGCTGGGATTAGAGGCAGATGTCACCAGCTTCAGCAGCATTTTGTATGGATTTGTTTTGACTGCAACATCCCTTTAGTCTCAGCACTATTGTATTCCGTTAATTGTATGATATCAGGGATGAGAGACGGCTCAGCTGGGAAGAGCTCTTGCAGAGGGCCCAGGTTCTGTTCCTAGCACCCACATGGCAGCAACAGCTGTCTAAAACTCCAGTAATAAGGGGTCCAGTACCTTCTTGTGGCCTCTGTGGACCCAGGGACGCGTATGGTACACATACCTACATGCTGGAAAAACATTCATACACATAAAATGAAAACAAAATCTTAACAGATTTGTGAAGCCATCAATTATATGCTATTACTGTGTGTTAAGAGAAAAACCATCTCTCGATTAAGCTATGGCCTGCCTGTAGCTAAAATTCTCTCTGACTGCAAAGATGTCAAAATGTAAAAAATGAATAGAATTTTTTAAATTATCTGCTTTTAAATAGGAAGAGAACTGTGGGTGTAGCAATATTTTGTTTGTGTTTTAACAAATAAAGCTTACCTGAAGATCAGAGTGCAGAGCTAAGCCACTAGAAGCCAGGGAATGGTGGTACACACTTTTAATCCCAGGAGACAGAGGCAGAGGGATCTCCGTTAGTTCAAGGTCACCCCAGACTACACAAGATTGAATCTGTCCAAAAAATATACAGAGCTCACACAAGGGTGATCCCAGTGCTTGGGATCACACACCTCCAGTCCCAGCACTAGGGGGATGGAGAAAGGAGCTCAGTGCAGTCTGAGGTTTGTTGGAGACAGATGCAGTCTGAAGATGCAGTCTGAGGACAGGATCACACCTTCGGTCTGAGCATTGGTAGAGGTAAAATGTCTCTCTAGAGGCTGCTGCTGCTTCTCTGATCTTCAGCCTTAACCCCTACAGCTGACTCTGGGTTTTTATTATTAATATCAAAAGCTACATGTGGAAGCTGGAGAGACGGCTCAGCGGTTGAGAGCGCTGGTTGCTCTTCCAGAGGTCCTGAGTTCAGTTCCCAGCAACCTCATGGCTGCTCACAACCATCTCTAGTAAGATCTGGTGCCCTCTTCTGAAGTGCAGGCACACACGCAGACAGGCACTATATGCATATATATGCATAATTAATAAATAGATCTTTTTAAAGGGAACTGTGTATGGTGTCTCCTGCTATAATCCTAACACTTGGGATGTGGAAGCTGGAGAATCAGAGTTCAAGGTCATTCTTGGTTGCATATTAAGTTCAAGGCCAATCTGGACTCCAGGAGACCCTGAGACCCTGTTTTCAAAAACAAAACAAAACAGGATCTAGAGAAACGGCTCAGTGCTTAAGAGCACTTGCTGCTCTTACAGAGGACTTGGCCTTGGTTCCCAGCACTGGCCACCATCTGTAACCAGTTTCGGGGGGCCACGCTTCTTCAGAACTCCAGATTCCTGTATGTATATGGTACACATGTGCATACATACATACATAACATCAAAAGTGTAAAAAGCAAAAATTAAGAAGCTGGGTGGTAGTGGCATATACCTTTAATTCCCAGCACCAACATGGCAGCTCACAATTGTGACTCCAGTTTCAGGGGATCTGATAGCCACACACAGCCATACCTGCAGGCAAAACACCAATGCACATAAAATAGAAATATTTTTTAAAAATGAGAAGGGTGAAAATGATTGTGTGGTTTACTGTTAGGACACTTGCTTATCATAACTGAGTCCATTGTTCTATTCCTATTCTTATCAACCATACTAAGGCTGGTGATGTGGTTCAGTGGTGGAACACTTACTAACCTGACAAGACCTGAGTACACACACACACACACACACACACACACACACACACACGGTATAGCATAGGTCTGCATTCCTTGCACTGGGGAGGCAGAGACCAGAGGATCAGAGATTCAATGTCATCTTCAGGTACAGCCAGATCAAGGTCAGCCTAGCACACATAAGATCCCGTCTCACAAACGTACCCACTGAAGCCCTTCCCTGTGTCTTCCCTGCCCGCGGATCGCACACCTCACTTGTTTACCCTGGCTTCCGAGGCTTCTCCATCAGCAGCTCATACTTGTCTCATCTCAGGCCAGCGCTTTCTAAACGCAGACCTAACTGGAATTTCCACTGCTGTGCTCGGGAGCATCTCAGACTCCACATGTCCAAACAAACCTCCCTCCCTGAGATCCCCAGTGCTCTTTCAGGGTCGTTCTCACGCTCCCACGCAAAGCCCACCACACATCCTTGTCCGTCCTCTTCCTAATGCTACAAGCTCTCTCCTCATCAGTAACCCAGTGACCTCCCTCTGTAACACATGAAATCCAGCCGTACTTGGTTAGAACGCTGTCTCCCGCGGCTGTCTGCCTTATACCTCTCCTCACAGCCGGGTTGAGTCGCTCGAGTTTCCTAAACACCTTTCCTTTCTACCTTTGTCCAGGTCTGTCCCTCCATCGGAAGTGTCCTGGTCTGGCTCAGGTAACACTTCAGCAACACTGCCTCTGAGTTACCCTGGGAGAGTAGATTTCTTCCTCAGGTATCACGCAGCTATGGCACCTGTCACGTCAAGGTGGTGCGTGGCTTCTGGGGGGGGGGAGGTGAAGAGAGGGGGAAAGAGTTGAGATAGGACTTCATATAGCCCAGGCTGGCCTTAGACTTACTGTGTAGCTAAGGATGATCTTGAACTCCTGATTTTCCTGCTGGTACTACATGTATGACCATCACTTCTGGCGTGATGGTGGATGTCTATTTGTATGTGTATGTATTTGTAGTGTTTTTCAAAGCTACCGGAAATATTGTATTCTAACAAGATACACAACCTGAGGGGTGGAGGTCGAAGTCAGTGGGGAAAGCAGGGCAGAGTTGGTAGGGCAAGACGAGATTTTCAGAAGAGACTGGATGTGCTGGTTTTGCTGACCACCTTCTCCGATGACAACAGAGCAGGCCTGCCCCAAGAGCTGCTGGAAGCATACGGACTCAGAGGGGACATCCTAGTCTTCACGTAACAGTGGGAGGTGCCGAATGACCTCTAGGAGCTCCGCTCTTGCCAGCATCATAGTGAACTCAGAGATATCCCTGCTGAGGGTTTGGTGGCCTCATTGGTTCCCAAATTGCTTGCAGTTATATGACTGCCAAGCAAGGTCCCCACGTGTTTTGGATGAAGTGGACACCTTCCAGGGAGAGGCTTTCTGGGTAACATCAGCCATTGCCGTGGCTGTAGCAAGCCAGGCTGGTCTCGGTGAATCCCGAGAACAGCCTGACTTGCTGGTCTTTATTTACCTCTCTAGATCATGTGTTTCCTATGAGCTACCCCAGAAGGGCTTACAATCTCCATTTCCATCATGCCTGACACGTAGGTAACACCAGGAGACATCCTTAATGGCTTCGGGCCTTCTTAAGCCCTTGTGATATACACACTCATGAAGCAATTCATGAGTGGGGTGCATGAGAGGCTTGCTGCTTTTCCACTCGCATGTGTGCGTGGTGTGTGCACGCTAATGTGTGTGAGGGGGTACACAGGCATGTATAGAAGCCAGAGGTCAGCTTCTGGGTGTCACCCTCTATTGCCCTCTATTTTTGGTATTACGCTCTTTGTGAGGGTCGTGAGAGTGGATACCACAGCGAGCACCTGGAGGCCAGAGGAGGGCTTTCGAGAGTCTGGTTTCCTCTTCCATCTTGTTGAGGCGGTCTCTCTTGGCACTGCCACCTGGCGTACTCCAGGCTGGGTGACACTTGGGCTTCCAGGTGGATTCTCCTGTCTGCCTTCCATTTTACTCTAGAAGTACTGGATTTCACTGTAGGGGTGCTGGATTTCACTCTGGGGTGATGGGATTACATATGCACACTACTGTGTTTGGTTTTTTTATGTGAATTTCATAGATCAAGCTGAGGTCATGAGAGTCGTCTTGCCAGTCCCGTTCACCTATTTTTTTTTTTCAGGACAGGTTTTGTTTGTTTGTTTGTTTGTTTTGTTTTGTTCTTCTTTGTAGCTTTGGAGCCTGTCCTACAACTTGCTCTATAGACCAGGCTGGCCTGGGACTCACAGAGATCCACCTGTCTCTGCTTCCCAAATGCTGGGATTAAAGGCGTGCGCTATGCCCCAGCTTGTGGTGCTTCCTATTTCCATTGCAAGCTCGGGGGAAATGTGGTGGCTATGAACAGAAGGTGGACACACAGTAGTGGGCAATGACTCTAAAAATGAGCGAGACAAAAGTAAATCGGAAAGAGAAGGGACTTCAGGGTCCTAGAAGGAAGTAGGATGATAACTAGGAGGGGCTAAGAATCCAAGGGCCCGAGAAGAGCCAACTGTGAGGAGCCAAGGAGCATCAAACTGAGAAAGGGGCAGTGACTGGAGAGAACACACACTGGCGAAGGTTGGAAATTCCCCATCAGGACCACTCCTGGCAAAGGAGCACTTGGTCTCCTTGGCCTTATCACGTGGTGCTGTGTCCCATCCGTTCATCCAACGAAGGTTAGGGAGCACTAATCACACAGGAGCCAGGCTCTAGATACGATAACTAAACAAAGCCTTTGTTATCAGAGTAGGCAGGTTCCCGGCAAGATGATGATGTTGCAATGGAGGAGGCAACCGGGGGACTTGGGATGCAGAGGAAGAGGTGGGATGGGTTAGGGATGGGTTTTTGGCAAGAGATAAGGCCAGGCTGGAAAACGAAGCTGTGCAGAACTTGGGAGTGAGCCAGCATGCTGAAGTGCCCTTCCCTGGTGTGACACTGCCAGGGGGGGAGGTGGCTGCAACAGAGCAGCATTGATGCACTCCAGGAGCAAGAGTCATGCGGACGGGCCTCGCGTCACCTGCCCCAAATCCTGCAGGATGGGGAGAATGCAGATGCCCCTCGTGTTCCTCTTCCCGGATCTCTACCCTGTGCAGGAAAATCGGCATCCTTCTCAGATGCGTCTGCAGGGAAGGCGGGTTGGGGAAGGGGTGGTGCCCAATCTGGGTCTCCAGGTGTAAGGCATTAATAGGAAGCCATCCTGGCCTGGAGGAGAGGCTTCCTGAGGTGGTTAGGATGGTCAAACTGCACCCTCCTACATCCCACACTCCTTTGTAGGTAAAGATGAAGCATGAGAGAAGAGATTCGGAAGAGATAAATAGGGAAAGAGCTGGGGGCCAGGGCGTACCAAAAAGCTAATCCCTTGGATTTTTTTTTCTCCTCAAGCTAAAGATGGAAGTGGGGGTGAGCCTCTGCCTGTGTTTCCTGCTGAGGCCTGATGGCGTGTGGAAGACCTAGGCCAGGAGTCCAAGCTACGATGCCCCCAATTCTCAGCCTCCTCGCCATCTGTCATGTTGAGATATAATAAGAAAAGTATATTTGGTCTTTGTCCCAGTTCCTGCCACAGAGATCCTAAAACCATTGGAATTTCCTGAGTGCTGGGGGGCCCAGCACATTTGCTGTTGTTAGGGTTAAGCCCCTTTCAATCATACCTGGGGTTATGCTGATGAGGAGGCTCAGGGGGCATGGGATCCATTGCCAGATGGTTGGGCCTTTCGTCCTCAGTCCCTAGCTGCTGAGATGGGGAGGGGAGCTAGAGACGATTGTATCACACTCGTTTGTATGATTCCTGTATGATGTCTACATAATGGAGCCTCCCCATGAGCGCAGCACAGCGCTGCCCAGAGGGCACTGGGCTTGGCGAACTTGTGAAGGTACTGAGAGACTATCGGGTATGAAGACCGCATGGACACTTCTGCCCATCCCTGTACCTCACCTAATGCTCCTCTCTGATTGGCTGTTCTTCAGCATCCCTGTACCTCACCTGATGCTCCTCTCTGATTGGCTGTTCTTCAGCATCCCTGTACCTCACCTGATGCTCCTCTCTGATTGGC